ATTCAAATAATAATGGAATTTAAAATAATAATAACAACAATAACAACAACAATAAATAATAATAATAATAATAATAATAATAATAATAATAACAATAACAATAACAATAAATAATAATACTAACAATAATAAATAATAATTATAATAAATAATTATAATTAAAATAATAATTATAAATAATAGTAATATCATTATAATTAATTTAAAATTTATAATATAAATTATTATGTATTGTTTTTGTTGCATTAATGACAATGCAATGTGCATTTATATAGCACATTTATTGTGTGTTGCCATGCACCCAATTGTATAATAATAATAATAATAATAATAATAATAATAATAATAACAATAAAAAAACGTAAATTATTATTATTAATATTATTATTATTATTATTATTATGCAACAACAATACATAATATCAATGTACCATTTAAAAATTATTAAAATTGTTTTAAAATAAAAACTATTTCTATATAATATAAATTTTTTTCAGATAAACTTTAGAAAACTTAACACATCAAACAGAGGGTTTTGTAGAAAGATTTATGAACATTTTATTTAATTTTTGTTACTATTTTCGTAGAGTTGTCACATGTTTAAATTTAAAATGCATGTTGAGAAATTACTAAATAAGAAACAACAACAACAACAACAACAACAACAACATCAATACTAAAAACAATATCATTATAATTAATTTAAAATACATAAAATAAATTGTAATATAACAAATTTTGTATTGTTGCAATAATAACAATGCAATGTGCATTTATACAGCACATTTATTGTGTATGGCCATGACACCAATTGTAAAATAATAATAATAATAATAATAATAATAATAATAAAACTATTGTTATTATCATGATTTAACAACAATACATAATACCAGTATATCGTTTAAAAAAGGATTTAAAAATAAAAAACTATTTACATATAATATTAATATTTTTTTCTAATAAACAAAACAAACACAACAAACACACACACACCACAAGTTTTATTTAATTAAAAAATATATATTTATATATAATATTACTTTATTTACAGATCAAAAATTAAACGCACACAGCTTTTACGTTTAGCAGAAAAACTGGGCTTTGTAGAAAGATTTATAAACCTGTTTAATTACTAATTCAAAACATGTTAAGAAAGAAGAAAGCGCTAACTGTTTTATTGAATAAAAGACGTGCCTTTTTTTGGCTAAAGTACCAGAAAAAATGAAGCTTTACAGATTTATTTTTAGTAAAAAAAAAAAAAACATTCAATACTTCAGGTCAGAAAACATAAAATCCATAAAAAAACAGAGTAAACATATTCCCAGTTTGCTGCGGTGTGAAGGAAAATAAACTCTAACCAACTGCATAAAACACAAACAATAAATTGTAAAAAATATCCATAAATTAGCAATTTCCTCATTTATTCCTGCTTTTGAAATGCATTATGGGACCTTGATTTTTCTTGCAACAACTTTTAACTTTGAAAAGTTTGAATGAAGACTTTTGTAAACATTTTTAATAGATTAAAGTGATACAGTATATTGTCTGGGTTGGGGTTTTATATTATGCTACAGTAAACTTGTAATAAACTGCCAGTACTATTTCAGTTATTTTACAGTCTTACATCTCTATATTTTATATCATATACATTATATTATTTATTTACTAAAATAAACAAATGATAAAAAATGCATTACACTATTTATTCGTCTTTGTTAATGTAAGCTAATTAAAATAAATCTATCAATTGCTAGTTTTTGTTAACTAACAGTGCATTAATGTTAATAAGCAAGAATTTGGGTTTTAATAATGCATTATTAAATGTAGAACTATGATTAATAAATGGTGTACAAAATTGTTAATATTTAGCCACAGCCATGTCACCCTGCAGCCCAAGACCGGTTACTCACTGAAGATAAGCAGGGCTGAGCCTGGTCAGTACCTGGATGGGAGACCACTAGGGAACACCGGGTTGCTGTTGGAAGTGGTGTTAGTGAGGCCAGCAGGGGGCGCTTAACCTGTGGTCTGTGTGAGTCCTAATGCCCCAGTAAAAGTGAAGGGGACACTACACTGTCAGTGGGCGCCGTCTTTCGGATGAGATGTTAAACCGAGGTCCTGACTCTCTGTGGTCATTAAATATCCCATGGCATTTCTTGTGAAAGAGCAGGGGTGTAACCCCGGTGTCCTGGCCAAAGTCCCTCTATCGGCCCTTACGATCATGGCCTCCCAATCATCCCCTTCCACCGAATTGGCTATATCACTGTCTCTCCTCTCCACCAATAGCTGGTGTGTGGTGAGCGCACTGGCGCCGTTGTCCTGTGGCAGTCGTCGCATCATCCAAGTGGATGCTGCACACTGGTGGTGGTGTGGAGAGACCCCCCTCATGATTGTGAAGCGCTTTGGGTGTATGGCCATACACAATAAATGCGCTATATAAATACACATTACATTACATTACATAGTTTACGCTAGTAAATATATGAACTAATGGAGCATTATTTAAAAGTGTAACCCAATTTGCGTGAGCATAACAGCTTCAAAGAAGTGAAACTGTGTAGGACATTGACATGTTTTCAGTGAATACTGTATCTGTGGAATTAAAAGTTTCCCCACTGGGGGATTTCTGCTCGTTTCCAGCATAAATCTCATTAAATTCTGCAGTTTCTGGAGCGGAGAACGACACACGACGGGAGGAATCCGGTGAGGATTAGCGTTTCTCTGTTAACAGGAAATTCCATCAGTCACCAACACTGAGTTTCCCGCAGTGCTGTGACCTCTGACCCTTACAGACGCCTGCCCAAACACATCAATGATCACTCCGACTGTCAGATCCAAAGCAGGACAGCGGACAGACAGTAAAGGCTCTGATTTTGCAACCTTTTCATTTCAACTTAATCTTGTTAGATGCCACTTCTGTATACCAAACTGATAAGAGATGACATTGTGACCGTTCACATCTCTGACTGTCAGCTGTTACAAACTAGCCTAGAGCGCCATCTGCTGTCAAATGGTAGCCTAGAGTGTCATCTGCTGGTAAAACTAGCCTAGAGCGCCGTCTGCTGTTAAAAACTGGCCCAGAGCACCATCTGCTATTAAAACGAGGCTAGAACACAATTAAAAACTAGCCTAGATTACAATCTGTGGTTAAAAACTAACCTAGAGTATAATCTGCTGTTAAAACTATCCTAGAGTGTTGTCTATTGTTAAAAACTAGCCTAAGGCACCATCTGCTGTTAAAAAGTAGCCTAGAGTGGCATTAGCTGTTAAAAACTAGCCTAGAGCGGCATCAATTGCTAAAAACTAATCTAAAACAGTTTGCTGTTAGAAACTAGCCTAGAGGTGCATTAAAAACTACCCTAAAGCGCCATCTGCTGTAAAAACTGCCCTAGAGTGCCATCCGCTGTTAGAATTAGCCTAGAGGGTCATCTGCTGTTAAAAACTAGCCTAGAGCGGTGTCTATGGTTTAAAAAAATACCTAGAGCATCACCCGCTGTTAAAAACTGGCCTTGAGCAAAAATAAAAACTAGCCAATAGCAACATCTGTGGCTAAAAATTAAAGTGTCATCTGCTGTTTAAAATATTCTACAGCAGAATTAAAAAGTAGCCTAGAGCACTGTCTGCTGGTAAAAACTGAGCTAGAGCGCCATTTGCTGTTAAAACTAGCCTAAAGCCTAAAGCAAAAAGTAAAAACTAACCTAGAGTGCCATCTGTGGTTAAAAACTAACCTAGAGCACTGTGTGCTGTTCAAAACTAGCTTAGAATGGAATTAAAAATTAGAGCACAATCTGCGGGTAAAAACTAGCCTAGTGTCATCTGCTGTTAAAAACTAGCAGAGTTAAAAACTAACCTAGGGCACAATCTATTGTTAAAAACTAACCTAGACTGTCATTTGCTGTTAAAAACATAACTAGAGCACAATTAAAAACTACCCTAGAGCGCCATCTGCAGTTAAACTCTACCCTACAGTTTCAGCTGCTGTTAAAAACTAGAGCGTAATTAAGAATTAGTCTAGAGCACCTTCTGCTGTTAAAAACTGAGCTAGTGTCGTCTGCTGTTAAAACTAGCCTAGAAAGAAATTAAAAACTAGCCTAGAGTGCCATCTTTGGTTAAAAACTAGCCTGTTTCATCAAAAGTTTCATCTGCTGTTAAAAACTAGCCTAGAAAGAAATTAAAAACTAGCCTTGAGCGCCATCTGCTGTTAAAAACTAGCCTAGAGCACTGTCTGATGTTAAAAACTGAGCTAGAATGTCGTCTGCTGTTGAAAACTTGCCTAGAGCGGCATCTAGGGTTTAAAAATTAACCTAGAGCGTAGTCTGCTGTTTAAAAACTAGCCAAGAGCACCATCTATAGTTTAAAACCTGTAAGCTAAACTATGGTTTAGCAGCTGTTAAAACTGGCCTAGAGCAAAAATTTAAATCTAGCCTATAGTGGAATTAAAATCTAATCTACACCACTATCTGCTGTTAGAAACTAGCCTAGAGAATCACCTGCTGTTAAAACTGACCTAGAGAATCATCTGAGTTTTAAAAACTAGCCAAGAGCAGCATCTGTGGTTTAAAAACTAACCTAGAGCTGCATTAAAGACTACCCCTAGAGTGCCATCTGCTGTAAAAACTAAGCCAGAGTGTCGTCTGCTGTTAAAAACTAGCCTAGAGTGCCATCTGTGGTTAAAAACTAGCCTGTTTCATCAAAAGTTTCATCTGCTGTTAAAAACGAGACTAGAAAAAAATTAAAAACTAGCCTAGAGTGTAGTCTGCTGTTAAAAACTAGCCTGGAGCAGCATCTGTGGTTTAAAAACTAGCCTAGAACAGTGTCTGCTGTTAAAATCTGAATCATAATGCATTATTAAAAAAAAAAAAAAAAAAAAGCTCTACTTTGAAATACTTTGCCATTCGTGTTTGCAATGCAGGGCCTTCGAGCGACCCAGAGGAAAGGTCTAAAGATAATAACAGCTTATTCCGGAGGAAGTTCAGGGTCAGTGGAGGAGTGAAACATACCTGTGCTGCTGTTGAGTGACTGCTGCTTGCATTTCTTGAAGTGGAAGCGTTTAATGGCCACCGGATGGCCTCTGTATTTAGCTCTGTAGATGATGGTGCCACTGCCGCCCTGACCAAGGATATCAGCTTCATCTTCAGTCCACTCAAGGTCACTCTTCAGCAGAAACAACCTAAAATACACACAGACAGAGGTGCTGATAACATATTGTGTGTGCATTTAATTTACAATGTATGCTTTCGCCTTTAAGCGTACAGTAGTCAACATATGAAGTAGTTCATAAGCTTTCATCAAGTTGCCCTAAAACTATTGAACAACACTTATTCATGTCCTAAAGCAAGCTTTTCAATTTTGCTTAGCCCAGAAAAACTAGCCTAGAGCACCATCTGCTGTTAAAAACTAGCCAAAAGCACCATCTGCTGTTAAAAACTAGCGTAGAGAGCCATCTGCTGTTAAAAACTAGCTTAGTGCGCCAGCTGGAGTTAAAAATCAATCTAGTTTGCTGTTAAAAACTAGAGTAGAGCACCATCTGCTGTTAAAAACTACTGTAGAGTGCCATCTGCTGTTAAAAATTAGCCTAGAGCAGAATTAAAAACTACCCTAGAGCGCCATCTATGGTTAAAAACTAGCCTAGTGTCATCTGCTGCTAAAAACTAGCCTAGAGCACCATCTGCTGTTAAAGACTAGCCTAGAGCGACATTAAAATCTAGCCTAGAGCACAATCAGTGGCTAAAAACTAGTCTAGAACCCCATTCACTGTTAAAAACTAGCCAAGAGCGACATCTGTGGCTAAAAACTAACCATCTGCTGTTAACAACTAGTCTAGAGCGAAATTAAAAACTAGCATAGAGCGCCGTCTGTGAATAAAAACTAGCCCAGTGCTTCATCTGCTGCTAAAAACTAGCCTAGAGCGGAATTAAAAACTAGCCTAGAGCACAATCTGTGGTTAAAACTAGCCTAGAGCGCAATTAAAAATTGGCCTAGAGCACAATCTGTGGTTAAAGCCTAGAATGCCATACGCTGTAAAAAAAACTAGCCTAGAGCGCCATCTGTGTTTAAAAACTAGACTACAGTTTCATTTGCTGTTGAAAACTAGCCTAAAGTAGAATAAAAAAACTTGCCTAGAGCGTTACCTGTGGTTAAAAACGAGCCCAGAGTGTCATCTGCTGTTAACAACTAGCCTAGAGTGGAAAGAAAAACTAGCCTAGAGCGCCATCTACTGTTTAAAACTAGTCTAGAGCAGAATTTAAAACTAGCTAGAACGGCATCTGTGGTTAAAAACTAGTCTAGAGCGCCATGTGTTATTAAAAGTAGCCTAGAGTGGAATTTAAAAACTAGCCTAGAGCACAATCTGTGGTTAAAAACTAGCCAAGAGCGCTATACGCCTTGTAAAAACTAGCCTGGAGCGCCATTTGTGGTTTAAAACTAGCCTAGAGCGCCATCTGTTGTTAAAAAAATAACCTAGAGCGGAATTAAAAACTAGCTTAGAGCACAATCTGTGGTTAAAAACTAGCCTACAGCATCAATCACTGTTAAAAACTAGCCTAGAGTGCCATCTGTGGTTAAAAACTAGCCTAAACCACCATCTGCTGTTAAAAACTAGCCTAGAGCACAATTAAAAATTGGCCTAGAGCACAATCTGTGGTTAAAAACTAGCCTAGAGCGCCATCTGTTGTTAAAAAAATAACCTAGACCGGAATTAAAAACTAGCTTAGAGCACAATCTGTGGTTAAAAACTAGCTTAGAGCATCAATCACTGTTAAAAACTAGCCTAGAGCGCCATCTGTGGTTAAAAACTAGACTACAGTTTCATCTGCTGTTGAAAACTAGCCTAAAGTAGAATAAAAAACTTGCCTAGAGCGTCACCTGTGGTTAAAAACGAGCCTAGAGCGGCATCTGTGGTTAAAAACTAGCCCAGAGCGTCATCTGCTACTAACAACTAACCTAGAGTGGAAAGAAAAACTAGCCTAGAGCACCATCTGCTGTTAAAGACTAGCCTAGAGCGACATTAAAATCTAGCCTAGAGCACAATCAGTGGCTAAAAACTAGTCTAGAACCCCATTCACTGTTAAAAACTAGCCAAGAGCGACATCTGTGGCTAAAAACTAACCATCTGCTGTTAACAACTAGTCTAGAGCGAAATTAAAAACTAGCATAGAGCGCCGTCTGTGAATAAAAACTAGCCCAGTGCTTCATCTGCTGCTAAAAACTAGCCTAGAGCGGAATTAAAAACTAGCCTAGAGCACAATCTGTGGTTAAAACTAGCCTAGAGCGCAATTAAAAATTGGCCTAGAGCACAATCTGTGGTTAAAGCCTAGAATGCCATACGCTGTAAAAAAAACTAGCCTAGAGCGCCATCTGTGTTTAAAAACTAGACTACAGTTTCATTTGCTGTTGAAAACTAGCCTAAAGTAGAATAAAAAAACTTGCCTAGAGCGTTACCTGTGGTTAAAAACGAGCCCAGAGTGTCATCTGCTGTTAACAACTAGCCCTAGAGTGGAAGAAAACTAGCCTAGAGCGCCATCTACTGTTTAAAACTAGTCTAGAGCAGAATTTAAAACTAGCTAGAACGGCATCTGTGGTTAAAAACTAGTCTAGAGCGCCATGTGTTATTAAAAGTAGCCTAGAGTGGAATTTAAAAACTAGCCTAGAGCACAATCTGTGGTTAAAAACTAGCCAAGAGCGCTATACGCCTTGTAAAACTAGCCTGGAGTGCCATTTGTGGTTTAAAACTAGCCTAGAGCGCCATCTGTTGTTAAAAAAATAACCTAGAGCGGAATTAAAAACTAGCTTAGAGCACAATCTGTGGTTAAAAACTAGCCTACAGCATCAATCACTGTTAAAAACTAGCCTAGAGTGCCATCTGTGGTTAAAAACTAGCCTAAACCACCATCTGCTGTTAAAAACTAGCCTAGAGCACAATTAAAAATTGGCCTAGAGCACAATCTGTGGTTAAAAACTAGCCTAGAGCGCCATCTGTTGTTAAAAAAATAACCTAGACCGGAATTAAAAACTAGCTTAGAGCACAATCTGTGGTTAAAAACTAGCTTAGAGCATCAATCACTGTTAAAAACTAGCCTAGAGCGCCATCTGTGGTTAAAAACTAGACTACAGTTTCATCTGCTGTTGAAAACTAGCCTAAAGTAGAATAAAAAACTTGCCTAGAGCGTCACCTGTGGTTAAAAACGAGCCTAGAGCGGCATCTGTGGTTAAAAACTAGCCCAGAGCGTCATCTGCTACTAACAACTAGCCTAGAGTGGAAAGAAAAACTAGCCTAGAGCGCCATTTACTGTTTAAAACTAGTCTAGAGCAGAATTTAAAACTAGCTAGAATGGCATCTGTGGTTAAAAACTAGTCTAGAGCCCCATGTGTTATTAAAAGTAGCCTAGAGTGGAATTTAAAAACTAGCCTAGAGCACAATCTGTGGTTAAAAACTAGCCTAAACCACCATCTGCTGTTAAAAACTAGCCTAGAGCACAATTAAAAATTGGCATAGAGCACAATCTGTGGTTAAAAACTAGACTACAGTTTCATCTGCTGTTGAAAACTAGCCTAAAGTGGAATGAAAAACTTGCCTAGAGCGTCGCCTGTGGTTAAAAACGAGCCTAGAGCATCAATCACTGTTAAAAACTAGCCTAGAGTGCCATCTGTGGTTAAAAACTAGCCTAAACCACCATCTGCTGTTAAAAACTAGCCTAGAGCACAATTAAAAATTGGCATAGAGCACAATCTGTGGTTAAAAACTAGCCTAGAACGCCATACGCTGTAAAAAAAAAAAACTAGCCTAGAGCGCCATCTGTGGTTAAAAACTAGACTACAGTTTCATCTGCTGTTGAAAACTAGCCTAAAGTGGAATGAAAAACTTGCCTAGAGCGTCGCCTGTGGTTAAAAACGAGCCTCGAGTTTAATCTACTGTTAAAAACTAGCCCATAATGGTATTAATCAATAGCCTAGAGCGCCATCTGTGGATAAAAACTAGCCTAGAGCGCCATCTATGGTTAAAAACTAGACTACCGTTTCATCTGCTATTGAAAACTAGCCTAGAACAGAGTTAAAAACTGGTCTAGAGCACCATCTGTGGTTAAAAACTAACCTAGAGCACTGTCTGCTGCTAAAATCTAGCCTAAAGCATATGCATTTTTGACGTCAGTAGCGGGCCGGAGGGGCCTTAAATGGCCCGCAGGCTGTTTGAGACCCCTGCTGTAGATGAAAGCAGTGATTAAAGGGATAACTCACTCAATATTTCCTAATATTAGAGTTTTAACTGCATTTATGATCAAATGATTACAGCCTTGATGAGCACGAGAGACTCTTTCAAAACATAAAAAGCAGCACACTAAACGCATATATCCTGAAATCTGACATTTCGTAAGATCTCCATCATTATCTAGCAGCTTTGTTCTGTCTCTCCAGCATCATTCTTGCGGTCTCCGTTGAATCGAACCCAAAGTCTGTCAAAGCAAAACCAGTCCGTCATTCCTAATCATTTCCATTTAAGCTCCACATGGTACGGTCATTTGATCCGCCATGCGCTGTGAAACGAAGACCTGCAGATGCTTTCAATGCTCTTAACCACTTCCGGACAGCTGTTTCATACAAACTTGCGGCAGAGATATTAACAGGAAACATTCATTTAGAAGACATCAAGCCAAGGGGATTATACTGTTTGCATAATCATATAAATAATTGGTATAAAGTCGTTCATCCCTGCTGTATAATTAAAGACATCTGCGGGCGACACTGCTGTTGTGATGAAGCTCATGTAAATCTTCAGCTTTTAACTCCAGTGTTTCGTTATGTGAAACGGATTTTTGCTCTGAGGACAGAGTTTGGTGCTGGAGTTCAAAAATCATTTTTGTTCACTGTAATGAAGCTGACGTAGAATACAACACTATAAATATTTTCATGATTATTCGTTAGTTATTATGCTGAATAAGCAGAGTGCTTCAAAATGTGAAAAAAAAATGCAAGACATAAATTAGATACTGTAGATAGAGTGGATTTAGTATTAACTACAACTGCATCATCCAAAAACAACCATATGCATCATCATAAATATCAAATCTCTGTATAACAGGGGGTGGCACAGGCTCAGTGGTTAGTACTGTCGTCTTACAGTGAGAAGGTGGTGGTTCGAGTCCCCAGCTGGGCCAGTAGGCGTTTTTGTGTGGA